AACAAAACAGAAGTGGGATATACTATGGAATTCCAAGTACAAACTTACTCTTTCATGTTGAACATGACCTCCCTTCTTCTTCCCTGAAAAGATATCCAAAGAGTCCTTTTGTGCTTCGGAACCAATGAGTGGCAAGAATCTTAGACTTGTGGGACTTGGTACCTGGAATAAAGAATCCATGAGACATACTTAAAATGATTACTTCTTTAATGTGGGGTATAAAAGCATTTATTAAGGCCTATTTGTTTTACTATACAACCCCCGCCCCCCACACACACACTCTTGCCCACAACTGATTCTTGATACTTCATTCTTGACAATTCTTTTATCTCTTGGCTTAAGTACTCAATACTGATTACAATTAACATGTTTTTGGGAAGAATAAGTAACATTTTAAGATATAACAAGTAAAGACTAAGTTGAATACTATTGTATCTAATGGTTTATTATTTTTTTGGTGAATTAATTGGTTCTTGAATTCAACAGAGGCTGTCTGGAGTGGAGGCTTAAATGATGAGTAGGGATTTGTTGGACTACAAGAAGTGGATAAATTTTGGGCAACGTCACAGAGGTGAGAGAGAACAATGATGTTCATGGAGTGGCAAGTTGACATGGCTGGAATATGGGGTATGTGGAGAGAGAATAGTGGAAATGAGGTCATATGATTACAGCAGAAGTCAGATCATGAAAGGTTTTATGCTAGCTATGGAATCAGGATTTTATCCTGAAGGTGAATCCCAGGGCAATTTTAGAAATAGCTCCCATGTGGAATGACAGAGAAACATAAAAAAGGCTATTGCCAAACAGATCAAAGACCTCTCTGGGACTGGATACAATACATTTATGGAAGCATTGGTCTACTTGGTTTTGTAATTTTCTCCAACCTTGCTTGGTAGTTCAAGGTTAGGAATAAGATGTCAGATTCCCAACTGTTCTGTTAGTACTCTAGTCCTAGAAACCGCAAACTCACCCTATATATAGGTAGAGAACCAAATACAATCCCTGCTTCTCTGTTTTCAGTCATGAAACCCTCCAGTGCATACCTTCGAATCTACAAAACACAGAGATCAGGTTTAGGGAGAAGGGCAAATGCCATTAGGAGGAAAATGGTTCAGATCAAATTCTGCCTCTGCCTCTTCTTATCTGCATGATCTTAGGCAAGTTACTTTTCCCAGTGACTGATTTTAAGAACCAAATAAGGCAATTTAACAAGTAAACTCCACTGCCAATGGGTTGATTCCAACTCACAGTGAATCTGAATAGGGTTTCTGAGACTGTGAATCTTAATAGGAGCCGAAATCTTCCTCTTTTTCTCATGGAGTAGCTAGCTGTTGGGTTTGAACTGCCTACCTGGGGGTTAGGAGTCTATCCTATAGCACCACCAGCACTCCTTGTATATAGTAAAGTGCTATCCAAATGTACCACCACTCATCTGTCAGCATGTGGTACTGTGGTAGCTTGCATGTTGCTTTGATGCTGGAAGCTATGCCACGGGTATTTTAAATACCAGCAGGGTTACACATTAGGGACAAGTTTTAGTGACGCTTCCAGTCTAAGACAGACTAGAAAGGAAGGAGTACTACTTCTCAATGTTTAGTCACTGACAACCTTATAATTACTTTACAATAACAGCAGAACATCATCAGATGTAGTGCTGGGAAATGAAAATATAATGAACAGCAGCACAGTATTGTCATATAAAGAGCTAGACAATGTGCCCCTCAGGTTGGAAAGCACTCAAAATACGGCTCTGGAAGAATTGTCTCCTCAAAGTAAAGTTGACCGTAGTAAGTTGAATGGAGTAAAGCTTTCGGGAATCTTAATTTTTGGATGAGGCACAACGCAAAATGAGGAGAGAGCTTCAAACATCCATTAATAATTGGAACAAGGAAGGCATGAACCATAAATCTAGGAAAATTGGAAGTTGTCGAAAATGAAAGGGAATACATGAAGGTCTATATAGAAGGCATTGTTGTTGTTGCTAAGTGCTGCTGAGTCAGTTTCTACTTATAGTAATGCTGTGTAGGGTTTTCATGGA